AAACCTACATTTAACGTTTAAGCTTGACATACAAATTAGTTTAGATTTTTAAATGTAAAGTAAAGCAGGTTTAGCTCTGACAATTAATATAAGAGCGCATTTAGGATACGACACATACAGACACTACTCTTACTATTGTTAATAATAATAATAATAATATTAATAAACTCACTCACAAGGTTGTCACATATAAGACTTCAACTTCAAGGAAAAAATAAACAAACCGTGTCTCAGAGCTGGTGGGCGAAAACTGTGGTGGTTGTCGCCCACCAGGTGTACACAGGTCTGTATCCTGCTGTAAACAACACCTGGCTTAGGTGAACCTTTAGCATTGACATTAAACCTTGACCTTTGTTTGACATTGACCCCAAAAAAGTTGTGCCGAGGTCCATCCCGGGGCGACCAACTTAAAATAACTGGAGACTAACGCGCCAATACACCCGGAAGTGCAAGTGGGTCACGTAGGCCAGCTGATGATACTTTACCTGACAGTAAAGTTTGGCACTAGATCAAAGTTGGGTGAGCAGATGTAAACATGAGTAAACAAATTAATCGAATCTTACTGAACAAGGCACTTTGTTTATCTTGTATTTCACCGAGTAACAACAACAACAACAACAACAACAACAACAACCATAACAACAAAAACAACAACAACAACAACAACAACAACAAGATACTTCTGAATGTCTAATATATCACACACAGATAAACTCAAATGTGGTGACTCTCTTACCCGGTAAACACAAGCAAACAAAACCTCTAAACCAAACCGATATTTGCACTTTGTCTGCCGTGTTTTTTTGCCAATACAGTAAAACAATAATAACTAAATCAACCCAAGTCTTAATTTATCATCAGCGTGGAAGGTCAAGTGTGATAACCTTTGACCCGATAAAACAACAGTGGGTTACCTAGAACTGATGAAAATAAACTATGACCTGCCCACCTTCCCACATGAAAGGTCAATTATTCTTGTGTGACCTCTGACCTGACAATGTGGTTTTAATTCTCTCTCTCTCTCTCTCTCTCTCTCTCTCTCTCTCTCTCTCTCTCTCTCTCTCTTTCTCTCTCTCTCTCTCTCTCTCTCTCTCTTTCTCTTTTCATCCCTCCTTTTCTTTACTTTCTCTATTTTCTCTTTATTTATTTTTCTTTTCAATCTTTGTCTCTCTCTGTGTGTCTTGATTTTCTCTTTCTCTCTGTCTCTCTCTCTGTCTTTGCCGTCTCTCTCTCTCTCTCTCTCTCTCTCTCTCTCTCTCTCTCTCTCTCTCTCTCTCTCTCTCTCTCTCTCTCTCTCTCTCTCTCTCTAAACCTCTTTATCCTCTTGAGTGCTTCATTAACTAACCATCTTATAGACTAATTATATCCCAGAGTGGTAATTATAGAGGTCACTCCATTATTATCTCCGTCCTAAGATTATTGATAATCCTTAATTATGTGGCATCTTGTTAAGAGGCCTGACGCGTCTGTCTGTCGGTCTGGTCTGTCTGTCTGTCTGTCGGTCTGGTCTGTCTGTCTGTCTGTCTGTGAGTTATATACACTTTAAGATATATAATTGTATTTTATAATTATATACCTTGTATGATGTCATGTGTAGAGATCTGAAGCGTCTATCTATCTATCTATCTATCTATCTCTCTATCTATCTATAATTGCATTTTGTTTTGTAATTATAGAGGTCAAGGTGTTATTGTACTCGTCCTATAATTACTGATAAGCTATCGACATTATCTGGTGTTTTATTAAGAGAGCTGACGCGTCTGTCTGTCTGTCTGTAGGTTTATTGGGAAGTAATTATGGAGGTGAAGCTATTATTATCCCCCTCATCTATATTACTGGTAATCAATAGGTATAATATGACGCCATGGTAGTGATCTGGTGTGTGTGTGTGTGTGTGTGTGTGTGTGTGTGTGTGTGTGTGTGTGTGTGTGTGTGTGTGTGTGTGTGTGTGTGTGTGTGTGTGTGTGTGTGTGTGTGTGTGTGTGTGTGTGTGTGTGTGTGTGTGTGTGTGTTCTTGACTCATTTCATCCATTAAGAGGAAAACTTTAACGCACAAGACTTAAATAACTTTTTTTACTCTATTGCCTTCCCCTTACCTCTTCTTTACTCCTTCTCTTCCCTTCTCCTCACCTCTCCTTCCCTCACCTCTCCTCCCCCTCACCTCTCCTTCCTTCTCTCTCTCCTTCCCCCTCTCCTTCCCTCACCTCCTTCCTTACAGTGTCTCCAGCAGATGATGTCCTCTAACTGGGTCAAGTCACCAACCTCGCTCTTAATTACCAGTGAGGATAACTATTGAAGAGAACAGCCAGGGCTCTCTCTCTCTCTCTCTCTCTCTCTAATTTTTCCATCTCTAATTAACCCATAGGGCTGTGTGTGTGTGTGGGTATAATGTTCTCAATGAGTCTCTGTCTCTCTTTCTTTCCACAAATCTCTCTCACTCTGTCTCCTTCTCGTCTCTTTCTAATTAACCTGGTATGAGTCTACAGGTAGAAGACTCTCA